TTGTTCCTTCTTCCAGTGTTTTGTTCAGCTCTACAGGTATTTACTGTATCAGTCAGTTGTTCCTTCTTCCAGTGTTTTGTTCAGCTCTACAGGTATTTACTGTATCAGTCAGTTGTTCCTTCTTCCAGTGTTTTGTTCAGCTCTACAGGTATTTACTGTATCAGTCAGTTGTTCCTCCTTCCAGTGTTTTGTTCAGCTCTACAGGTATTTACTGTATCAGTCTGTTGTTCCTCCTTCCAATAGACGTTTTGTTGAGCAAACGGAAGCCCGACATTTTACGAAGTGTTTAAACTAGAAAGGTGTTAAGGATTCTTTGATAACACATAGATTGGGTGTTCGTGTTTGTAATATATATATGAACTTCATCCGAAGTATTCTCCTGAATATGTACGTACACTACGGACTGAAGACATTAGTTCTTACCTGAATATGTACGTACACTACGGACTGAAGACATTAGTTCTTACCTGAATATGTACGTACACTACGGACTGAAGACATTAGTTCTTACCTGAATATGTACGTACACTACGGACTGAAGACATTACTTCTTACTGGAATATGTACGTACACTACGGACTGAAGACATTACTTCTTACTGGAATATGTACGTACACTACGGACTGAAGACATATGTACGTACATTAAAAGGGTTAGTTGTACGATGTTCACACTATATAGGAAATGACACCAATCACGATGTAATTTATGATGATGACTCGAACCCGAATTTGTAAGAACTAATGTATTCAGTATATAGTGTACGTACATATTCAAGTAAGAACTAATGTATTCAGTATATAGTGTACGTACATATTCAAGTAAGAACTAATGTATTCAGTGTGTAGTGTACGTACATATTCAAGTAAGAACTAATGTCTTCAGTGTGTAGTGTACGTACATATTCTAGTAAGAAGTGATGTCTTCAGTGTGTAGTGTACGTACATATTCAAGTAAGAAGTGATGTCTTCAGTGTGTAGTGTACGTACATATTCAAGTAAGAACTAATGTCTTCAGTTCGTAGTGTACGTACATATTCAAGTAAGAACTAATGTCTTCAGTGTATAGTGTACGTACATATTCAAGTAAGAACTAATGTCTTCAGTGTGTAGTGTACGTACATATTCAAGTAAGAACTAATGTCTTCAGTGTGTAGTGTACGTACATATTCAAGTAAGAACTAATGTCTTCAGTGTGTAGTGTACGTACATATTCAAGTAAGAACTAATGTCTTCAGTGTGTAGTGTACGTACATATTCAAGTAGGAACTAATGTCTTCAGTCCGTAGTGTACGTACATATTCAAGTAGGAACTAATATTTTCCTGACGTTGTTAGTCGTGCATGATGTCCAGCGAACCACGACTGTAACAGAGATAAAAAGTTACATACTTTGTGTTGTATGATAATCGTAATTCAAGAGTGTTAAGAAAAGAAGAAACACGCGAGAAACATGTGTATGAGATCTACATAATAAACTGATCATGACTTGTGGAAAACACGTAGGTGTATTATTCACGCTTTAATGTTGTATGTGTGTGGGCAGGTGTAAGTCGCTACATACCGAGGTGAATATACTATAATAAATACTTCATAAGGGCTTCGAGAGAATGTTGTGTTCGCCAAGATTTTAGATTTAATTTTATAGCTTTCAAGAAAATAACTGATTGAACTACTGACCTTATCTTTTATCAGCGGTTTACCGACGTGTTGTTATCCTTTTGAAAACCTCATACCACATGTCTTTCCATCTGCAGGTTAGTTTGTCTCTGCACTAGGCCTATCGATCTGTTTTCTTGTTTTGGTTTGAAAATATGTTGAATATGAGTAATAAAAGAATGAAACTGTTAGCTTTCACGTGTCAACGGTATACCAGAAGTGTGGAATTTTGTGAAACAAAGACTGGTATAAAGGCTAAGCGCG